TTTTTTTAATATGTTGTTGGATTCTGTTTGCTAGAATTTTGTTAAGGATTTTTGCATCTATGTTCATCAGTGATATTGGCCTGTAGTTTTCTTTTTTTGTGGCATTTTTGTCTGGTTTTGGAATTAGCGTGATGGTGGCCTCATAGAATGAGTTTGGAAGTTTACCTTCTTCTGCAATTTTCTGGAGGAGTTTGAGTAAGATAGGTGTTAGCTCTTCTCTAAATTTTTGGTAGAATTCAGCTGTGAAGACGTCTGGTCCTGGGCTTCTGTTTGCTGGAAGATTTCTGATTACAGTTTTGATTTCCTTGCTTGTGATGGGTTTGTTAAGATCTTCTATTTCTTCCTGGTTCAGTTTTTATTCCACATGTTTTACGTAAGGAAAATAAAGAGCATAATGACAGGGATGCAAAAATTAAACTGTCTTTACTTTGTAGTAATATAAATATATACGTAGAAATTCCAAAAGTACCTATAAAATATTAGAATTGGAATAGTTAATTTAGTGAAATCATTGGGTAGAATATCAATATATAACAATCTTTTGTTATTTGTTATTTGTATTCCGAATCCCAGAATTAACAAATACAAAGAAAATGAAGCTATTCAGTTGTGTCCGTCTCTTTGTGACTCTGTGGACTGGGGGCTGCCAGGCTCTTTTTCCATGGGATTTTCAAGGTAAGAATACTGGAGTGAGTTGCAATTTCCTTCTCAAGGGGATCTTCCCAACCCAGGGAGAGAACCCATGTCTCCCAAATTGCAGGCAGACTCCTTACCATCTGATCCACCAGGGAAGTTGACCAAAAACAAACACAAAACCCCCAAAAACTAACCACAAGATTTACTACAGACATTGTGAGAGGTAAGTACTGCAATCATAGTTTGCAAGACAGTATCATAGATATCAGTTCTTTCCAAATGATTAGAGTGTTTAATGCCAGTCAAAGGAGTATGTCAAGGCTGTATATTGTCACTCTGGTTACTTAACTTACATGCAGAGTACATCTTGAGAAATGCTGAACTGGATGAAGAACAAGCTGAAATCAGGATTGCTGGGAAAAATATCAATAACCTCAAATGTGCAGATGACACCACCCTTATGGAAGAAAGTGAAGAACAAAAGAGCTCTGTGATGAAAGCTAAAGAGGAGACTGAAAGAGTTGGCTTAAAACTCAACATTCAGAAAACTAAGATCATGGCATCTGGCCCCATCACTTCATGGAAAATAGATGGGGAAACAGTGGAAACAGTGACAGACTTTATTTTTGGCAGCTCCAAAATCACTGCAGATGGTGACTGCAGCCATGAAATTAAAAGACACTTGTTCCTTGGAAGAAAAATTATGACCAACCTAGAGAGCATATTCAAAAGCAGAGACATTAATTTGCCAACAAAGTTCCGTCTAATGAAAAACATGGTTTTTCCAGTAGTCACATATGGATGTGAGAGTTGGACTATAAAGAAAGCTGAGCACAGTAGAAATGATGCTTTTGAACTATGGTGTTGGAGAAGACTCTTGAAAATCCCTTGGACAGCAAGGAGATCAAACCAGTCCACCCTAAAGGAAATCAGTCCTGAATATTTACTGGAAGGACTGATGCTGAAGCTGAAACTTTGGCCACCTGATGCAAATAACTGACTTCTTTGAAAAGATCCTAATTTTGGGAAAGATTGAAGGCAGGAGGAGAAGGGGACAACAGAGATGGTTGGATGGCATCGCCATCTCAATGAACATGAGTTTGAGTAAACTCTGCGAGTTGCTGATGGGCAGGGAGACCTGGCGTGTTGCAGTTCATGGGGTCGCAAAGAGTCAGACACAACTGAGTGACTAAACTGAACTGATACACTTTGGAAATATTTTTTCTTAGTTTTCATTTTAGAACTATTTTTTTCATAATTCTTATTTTATTTTCTTCTTTACTGCAAATGTTCTTTAGTTTCCTTCCCTTTTTCTCATCATATTTGTTGCTGTTGTTTTATTTATTGCTTCCTTCTATTACAAGAGTAACATCTTAAGTTGTCAGATTTGTCCATATTTTAATTAAGGAATTACTCTTGGAGTCAGTCATAGGAAGCCCTCAGTCATATTAAACTATATAAATTTTCATGTTTTTTTATTCAGGTTTTTGCATTTTTACACATTTAATTTCTATTTGAATGCATAATGCAGCAGCATTTACTGTAGCTTAAGGGATGATAATACTATTTGTGTTTTTGGAAACAGTGCACTTTCCTTTAGGAACTTACTCTTCCCAACCTTTCAAACATAAAAAAGGCTTGGGATCTAGTATGAAGGAACATTTTCAAGAAGTAAGGGATATAAGTTATCTAAACAGCTATTTTTAAATGAAAGAAGAGGGATGATCATTTCTGTAGAAAAATAGAGAGATAATGTTGAAGTTTAAGGTTACTTCTGGTAATCCAATAAGTAGGGATTTATGCCCAAAAATGATAAGGGAGAATGCTGATTGGGATGCTAAAAAGCATCTGCATGTAAAAGGCAAGTCCCACCAGCAAGACAGAGGAGCAGGCTATGTCTCAAGTCAGTAGGTTGCTAGTAAGAGCTCCATTTGCTGGAGAATGTTGGTGGTGGCCAGTGATGCACTCCTTAAAGCTTATTTTTCTAGTTAAATCGCTTCTAACTCCCTGAATTCTGACAATTTTATTATTCAATGTCATTAATGCTGGTTCTTTATTAATTCTACCTTGTATATATAGTTGGTTATACATTTATATATATTATACATACACACACACACACACACACACACATATAGCACAAAGTAGCTGAAATACCTGAGGGGGTCTGCAGAAGCCTGAACCCACAGTCTGAACAAAGATCAGATCTGGTAATACAGGCATGTAAGTTTTCCTTGTAAATCTCCTGATGAAGAGGAAAAGGAGTTTCTCAGCAGTCAAGTAGGCTGTCACTCAAATAGATAAAAAAATGGCAAACTCAGGTGAGGGTAAACTTGGAC